TTTCACCACACTGCTGAACCAAACACACTATTAATTTGTCATGATATAGTTTTTGATGGTTAGATATTTGCAGACAAAAATTGCGCTGAATATAAATATACTAAAATACAATCAAAAAGGAACCCTAAGTTCATTTTGAATTATCATCTATCTTGCTGTTGTTTAATGAATGCTTTGCTTCAACCAATGCTTGTTCTCTTGTTGTGTAAAAGTGAAGAGGTATTTTGCCTTTACATATTTTTGTGTAGTTAATCATGAGGTGTGGTTCAATTGTTAATGTATATGAATGAACTTCACCTGCCTGGCATTGAATTTCATGGGCAAACTTTGTTGTCAAGGCCACACCACCAGGTGCCTGGGTGGATTATTCCCGTTTCCCACACTTTTTGGGTTGGCAACAACTTGTTTGTCAGAGGCTAAATGAAAAGTAATTTTTTACAAGTTAAAGTTACTTCTATTGGTTTTTGGTAGAGAAGTTAGTTGGAGCTTCTATTGTGTGAGGCCTTGTTTCTTATGATGATAATTGTTTCCATGTTATTAAGGTCAATTACTATAGCAATTAGTATAATTCATGTATTCTTTGATAGGCTGCCAAGTACACAACAAACACAAGGGACATATGGTTTATAATAATGGATGGCATTCACATATGGTGTCTCATTTTTTAATGTAATTTAGCAGTTTTTTATGGACACCTTTAACATTGCTAATTTGCTATTAAGATGTGGTCATTTATGGTAATTTAGTTCTTAGTGAACTTGTTTGAGATGCAGTGATATTCCTTTGATTTTATAATTGTGAGAACTAAGAAGTTGTCAGGCCCCATAAAATAGCTAGCCCAGTCCAACTCAGCGACTATATATCTGCTCATTGGTTCTAGTCATTGTCTACAAAAGTAACAACACCTTCAGTATACAATAACTAAACCAAACAACAATCATCAACACAACAATCAACAAAGAAATCAGCACAGTAAATCAACACAACACAGAGCTCAGCACAATAAAAGCCTAAAGGAACCACCCCCACTGAGTGTCCACTAGACTCGAACTGCTCTGATACCACTAAAGTGTAATGACCCGCCTGGTCGTCACACACAGCTCACAACACATCACAGCACCACACAGACAAGGACATGTATATAAACATAAGCAGCTAAAATATATACATAAGGTCTAGCCTGGGGCTTAAAAATCAGAATAAACAAATTACATCCAAAATGGCCAAACTAGTGGCTAAAACAACAAAACATCAAAATCCACTCCATCTGCCAGCT